AAAAAAAAAAAAAAAATGCCAGTTAGAATGGAGATCATTAAAAAATCTGGAGACAACGGAGACAACAGATGCTGGAGAGGATGTGGAGAAATAGGAACACTTTTACACTGTTGGTCGGAGTGTAAATTAGTTTAGCCATTGTGGAAGACAGTGTGGCGATTCCTCAAGGACCTAGAAATAGAAATTCCATTTGACCCAGAAATCCTATTACTGGGTACATATCCAAAGGATTATAAATCGTTCTACTATAAGGACACATGCACACGAATGTTTATTGCATCACAGTTTGCAATAGCAAAGACCTGGAACCAACCCAAATGCCCATCAATGATAGACTGGACAGGGAAAATGTGGCACATATACACCATGGAATATTATGCAGCCATCAAAAACTATGACTTCATGTCCTTTGTAGGGACGTGGATGAACCTGGAAACCATCATTCTCTGCAAACTGACACAAGAACAGAAAATCAAACACCGCACGTTCTCACTCATGGGCAGGTGTTGAACAATGAGAACACATGGACACAGGGAGGGGAGCATCACACACTGGGGTCTGTGAGGGGGAACTAGGGGAGTGGCAGCGGGGGGGTGTAGGGAGTTGGGGAGAGAGAGCACAGGGAGAAATGCCAGATATAGGTGAAGGGGAGGAAGGCAGCAAATCACACTGCTATGTGTGTACCTATGCAACAATCTTGCATGTTCTTCACATGTACCCCAAAACCTAAAATGCAATTAAAAAAAAATTTGGCCACCTCAGCCCACAATTAAATCTCACTCAGACAAGGAAAAAGCAAACAAACAACAACAACAGCAACAAACCCAACCAACCAAACAAAAAAATCTTATGTATGCTCCCACGGTTTTTGTATGCAGAGAAAAGTAAATATGAATATGTATCCTCTCTCCCCCTCTGCTTATTTTATACAAAGAGTTAAGACCAGTCAGTTTAGGTTATTTGCTTTTGCAAGACTTGGCTACTTCTTAGTGTAAAGTAGCTTACAAAGTGCATCTCTGATTGAATTAATTATCCCTCATCTTGGAGGGATTCACCATGCAGAGGGTTCAATTTGTTTAGATGGTAATTTCATATTGAAATCGATTTGAGGCCAAAGTCCAGCACTGCCAAGTCTTATGTAACCAGCAGAAGCTGAGCTTTCAACCAGCTGCCATATGTTATGAGGAACACAGCCAGAGGACCAGTGCAGATGGTTCTCAAGAAACAAGTTACCACTCTCAAAATCTCTAGAAAGACATAGTGTCAAAAGGTTATTATGTGTGGCATGCTTCTTAAGAAAACACCATATTTCCCATCTTAGAGTGATTAGTAAAGCATATACCAAAATAGTTCATTTAAGGCGTTCTCTGGAATGGTCTGGCTTCATGTTCCCTGAGGGTGAAGCTCTGGTGAGTGATGGAGGACAAGGGCTGGAGAAGTGTTTGTGTTTCCACTAAGTAAGACTTACAGAGAGGACCCGTAACTTTCTTGAAGCCACTCATCCAGAGCTTACTGACTTTGCTTTGTCTTTATTTCCCACTCCCTCCAGGTACTGGCGGAGGACATTGGGCATGCAAGTCCGCTATGTTCACCATGAAGACTATCAGTTCTGTTATTCCTTCCGGGGCAGGCCTGGCCACAAACCCTCCATCCTCATGCTCCACGGATTCTCTGCACACAAGGATATGTGGCTCAGTGTGGTCAAGGTGCAATTCTAGATTCTTCTCTCTTATAAGAAAAGGGAGTTGGGTGTGGTGGCTCATGCCTGAAATCCCAGCACTTTGGGAGGCTAAGGCAGGAGGATTACTTGAGTTCAGGAGTTTGAAACCAGCCTGGACAACATAGAGAAACCCTGTCTCTAAAAAAAATAAAAAATTATCCCAGCTATTCAGAAGGCTGAGGTGGAAAGATTGCTTGAACCTGGGGGGTCAAGGCTTCAGTGAGCCATGATTGTGCCTCTACACTTAGCCTGGGCAACAGAATAAGACTCTGCCTCAAAAAAAAAAAAAAAAAAAAAAAAAAAAGGAAAAAAAAAAAAAAAACGGGAAACAAGAAAAAAAAAACAAAAAAAAAAAAAAAAAAAAAAAAAAAAAAAAAAA